TCGCACACCAGATGTGAAAATGGGTGGTACAAAAAGATTCTTAACTGGTCTACCACACCATCATGTCTTGGAGATGGTCTTAGATGTCAAACAATGAAGTACAATGGGGAGTTCATCCTCATACCCATGCCTGGTCAGCTTGTAGTTAACGGCAAATCCATATCAGAAAAACCTCATGCGGACCCATTGTACGTGTCATCCGTACATCGTATTTCTTCTACATTCTGAGGGCCTTTTTCGAAATGCAATGAGAAAATGTGCATTTCAGAGGCAGTGATTTTATATAAGTTCTTCAGATTTCTTTCTTATGTTACGGATCATGCAAAAAATCAGCCACAATTTCTCTACTTGCTACATGTATTATCTTGTACCACTCTCGTAGTTGGAATGTCGAATTGATGAAGTTTTGCAGGTTTTAGTGAATCTGAAAATCGAAAACTGCTAGAAAGGACGACATTTTCAGATTAAGCAATGCCAGCAGAGCTCATGATGGTGATACGGCCTGCGACTGGCGGTAAGTCAAAGGTGAACGCTTGTGCACAGCAACTTAAGCTCACGTACAACATTCGGGTGCCGTGGAGGAGATGTGGAATCGGTCGGTTTACTTCACTCACTTATTGAGACATGACGTGAGCAGTTGCACGGCAACAGTGGTCAGTTCACTTTTTCTGTGATCTTTCTCAGTTCGTTGTCCACAGTCCGTAGGCAAAGGAAGCGTAGGTAAGCGTATACGAAATTTATTCATAGGTATTTCACCCGTCGATGCCAACGGAATTCAAAAAGCTACAAATCTACAAAAACTGCTGAACACACCGCTGGTGAAAGGTGAATTCGCTTTAAGTTGTTAGAATGAACTTCGTTGATTGGTAACAGACTATGGTAAACAACAAGATGTGGAAAACCCTTTTCTTGATGAGCAAAGGCAAAGTAGCTATTATACTCTTTATTCACTTTATTTACAATAGCTGATGTATTGGCGGTTTCGCCTTCTTCAATGCTTAGAAAGATCAATTTAACACGCACTCTACTTCGGCAAACACTTTCGTAAACTTGGCAGACATAATTTAAAACTCAAATTCTTCACTCGCATAATAAACAGCTTCCTGAAACGCTCACCGTTTTCAATATCTTAATACTAATGTATCCTTATTCGTATGTTTTACAGTTATTGTTGGAAAAGCTGCACTGAGTTTCACATGGGGAGGAATGCGCCTCAGGTCAAAAAATTAGCCTAAAGTATGGCGCGAGGTCACGCTTGCTCACGGAGCATTTCTTGCTGTAGTTCATTTTCGGAATTCTTAGAAGTTTATCCGGAATGCTTCGAGAGTTTTTACGCGCTGATGCTTTCCATCCTTGTTCGATAATGGTGACTTCTATTTCAAAATCTTCCCTCTTTATCTCTCTACGTCTCATGCGCGCCGAGTGGAACATCTTGTTTAACTTTACGGTTACAGTCCAAGCATTTTTTCGTACGGACGCATAGTGGTCTACCCGTTTCGCCAATATGTTCGTACCCCATGTTTTATAAAGATCGGATAAAGCGTACCCGAACTCATGCGATCACCATGTCTACCGTTAGCTCCATCTATGCAATTTTGCTTTATGCATAGACGGTCGTATCCCATCGGTTTACCGCCTCCGTGGCTGTGAGGTGTTTTTGGGTGTCAGGCTGCGATGTACAGCGGGGGATTCATCCCCCTAGGAGAGTTTCCCAAGCTGAGAAGGCGTTTCCATCAGGAAGCACAGCCAAGAGTAAACCAATACCAGAATCCGCCACCGTCCTCGTATAAAACTAGTCGCATGGTGGCAAAGCTTCTGATCTGCAAAGGCTGCGATTGCCTGGTGTGGTGACGACCTGGTGCAGTGTCTGGCCAGGCTGACTTCTGGACTGCAGGGAACCATAATAGCTAAGCAAGCAAAGGTCCAAAAAGTGGAAATTTTGCTGGTCCCTGAACAACCAGTGAGGACAAGCCATCCAAGCATACAAGTATTACTTGATGTACAGTAATATGATAAAATGCAACGAAGAATACACGTCTTTCTTATACAGAAATGTTTCTGTCGAAATACTGTTTAAAAAACATTCGTTCATTGCTATGGCACTCAGTGTGTTCATCACCAAACGTTCTTCCGAGGTCCAATATTAGCGTTGAAATTGTCAGTGGCGCCTCCACCGGAGGCATCATATTCCATGTGGAACTTCCTTGAGTTTAATGTCGATTCGCGGTGGTCAAAGACTGTCAATGAAGACATTATCTCAGGTCTTACTAGCTTTAATCACCCAAGTCTAATCGTTAGTTGTTCAAGAAAGTGGATGGCCATAGAAAGCACGCGTCCATCTATGTTGAGCCAACTACAACGCTGCTTTTGATCCATGTCTAACTCCTACCTGTTTCTCTTCATTACAATACAGCAATGACAGCGATTAAAGTTGATGTTTATCAGTATGAATTTTTCGTAGGACCTGAACTTGATAGTTCACTGTTTTCTTGCAAAGGCGAGGTTTTTATCATGGTGTTTATTCATTCAGCATAGTTGACCTTTCGGCGGTTTCGCCTTCTTTAGAGTCCTCGATTGATAGCTTTTGAGATTTGAAAGCTCAAACTAACACACAATTCATCCAGCCAAGCACTTCCACAAGAGATAAATCTTTTCTAAATTATAACTTAGTATATAAATTCTCTGAAAATCTGTGTATTAAAATTTATCTGCTGAGGTTATGAAAATATCTTAGGTTTGGTTGAGAGGATACGTGTCAATTTGGCCCTGCCAGGCTCTTTAAAAGGCGACACCGTTGAAACGTCAGCTATGCTGAATGAACAAATGTCAGCATAATAACTTCATCTGTATTCGTCAAGAAAACAGTAAATAATAGAAATAATAGAAATAAAAATAGATCGACACCGGAGTTGGAGAAAGGTCGGTCTAGAGATGTTGCTTGGTCTTGATAATATTATTTCCAACTTTAGTTTTACTTCCAGAAGCGTTTTAAATAATATCGTGATTCTCAAAGGAGACCGTCGATGGACTTTGGTCCCATTCATGGATGAGCAACAGTTTGTGATTTGCTCGCCGTAATATGCCAAAGGATGTAGGACTAGTTCGTTCTAGCTTCGTTTCTTTAATAATATTGTTACATCTCCTTGAATTGTTCAGCTTACACGAGGCTGTTGTACAAGTTTTATCCGGTATCCCGTTTCGACGTCTTGGCCTTCCTGAGAGCCGAGGTTCCGATTCGTTCATATTCTCCATGTGGTGTCTTCATCGTCGTATCGAGTCGAATCTTCCACAGTGGAGCATCGCTCGAATGAGGCAACGTCAATCGGCAGCGTTCTTTCACACAAGACGGTTGTTGACCGATTGTCGACTGATAATGATTTCTTTACATGTCGACAATCCATCCTGTAGAAGTCGGTATTAGAATAGGTAGTACATAACGAGATAATACTTAATTACTTGGGTGCTTGGATGGCCCGCCTTCACTGATTGTGCGGGCCCCAGCATATTTCCATTCTTCGGAGGTTTGCTGGTTAAGGCATTGTGGTTCACTGGAATCCCGAGCACAGCCTGGTCAAAGTCTGCCCCAGGTCGTCACGACGACAAGCAGTCGCAGCCCTTGTGGATCAGAAGGAGATTTGCCACCATGCGACTTTGATACAAGGACTGTGGTGGATCATGGCAATGGTTTACTGTTAATTGGGCTTCCTGATGGAAATGCCGGACTCCTCAGCTTGGGAGGGTCGTGCATGGGGACGAATTCCTCTGGTGTACACTGCAACCCGACATCCATGAACATCTCCCAGCTACGATGAAGCAGTAAACCGTTGGAATGAAAGTGAAATAATACTGTTGCTAAACCCACTTTCACTTGACCTCGGCGTGAATATTGAATGTACTTCTTTTGAATTTTTCGGCTTACACATCGAGGTTAAGTGGAAATCGGTTAAGTAACAATATTGTTAAAGTTCTATTGTGGTAAACTAGAACGATAGTCTTGATGAGTATCTGCTGTCTTCTTCATTAAACTTCATGTTACTGACATTCAAGACATTGCTGCTTGTCGTTCTTGTCGATACAGCTAAAGTCGTAAGATCTGGAAAACACACCTAGTGAAAACGAAGTAATAATACCCGCATGGTGTGGTGGTGAACGCGTTAACAACCGGAAAGGGTAATAGCGCGTTCGTTCCCCACCGCAGACACATGCGTTCCGGAGTTTTGCAAATATCTCAGCATCACTGTGGTTGAGTCACACATAATACGCTGCCGTGAAAAATTGTAATGGTAATAAATAAGAAATTACCGAAGTAATAATAATTCGTAGTCTTAACTCTTGTGAAGAAAAAGAAGAAAAAACAGCTCTGAAGGAGGTGAAGTTGCCGGGACGTCAGCCGTCAAGTTTCAAGAACATCTAGTGAAAACCTCTCGTCAGCTCAATAAAGGCAGTTCATTGGAACATTGGAAGCAAGGTTCATAAGAAGAAGGGAAACTAGTTTGTTCTCTACACATTACGCATCTGTGTATGGGACAAAAGAAGGCGAACCTACTTTTTTAAGACGGCCATCTGATCGCCCATTTACGAAGAGAGATTAGACAGGTGTTCCCAATCGTTCAGGTGCCTTTTTACTATTAAAATCGTTAGAAAACATAAGATGATCAGTATTTACTGTTATGATCAAACTACTAATAGAAATAAATATTCCTGTAAAAACTAGGATATTAGGAAAGAAGGAAGGAGTAAATGCTGGAAATGTGCACAGCGAAAGAATAAGTTTAGATCTACCCATTTCCCTAGACTATTAAGCTGAGACGAGCTTGTTTAAGAAACAATCCGGCCAGCGTTTCGGCCCTTCGTCCTCTTCCAGCAAGGGATGATCTGAGTCGCCTGTTCACAGCGGCCTGAGGGACTAAGTCCGTAGGTGAGAAACTTCATTTCAGGTCGTATCCTATCTGTCAGTCGTCCACTCCAACGAACGGCCACTCCACTGGCGACGACTCCGGATGTGCGGGGCGACGGCGATAGGATTCCCAGGCGACTACGGTTACGATACTCTCGAAGTGGTGAGCCGTGCGGGTGTTTCCCGCGCTTCCAATCTTCGTGCTTACCCAGCCAAAATGCGTCTCCAGTTTGACCCATGACAGCTTGAAATGCATAGGTGAGTGGTCTAATGTTATGACATATGAGACACCTGCTCAGCACATGTGGCCAAGTGTCCAGATTTCCAATCGGAGCGCGTCCTCAGTGGTTTTTGTGCACAGGTTTCAACACGAGCAATGACGAGCACGTACGCGGACTGGAACCAGCGCCAGGACCACATCGTGATCCCCTTCAGCACCCGTGTCAACCTCGACGAGTTGTTCGGCGATGTCCACTATAACGTCGTATGCGAACGTATCACACCTTGCAAGGTACTTCTAGTACTATTGAAAATGTTCTAAGCTGTGGCGTACCATGGCCGACCGTGAGATATCAGAGTTGACAAGTTCTCATATCTTGCAACCTTTCCGCTCTTGCGTTTTCCTTTTCCCATTGTAGTTCGCAGTTATCTACGTACTAAGTACCAATTTTATGTAAATTCGTTTTCCTTCGTACTATTGCAGATATCGTCGCCAATCATTCAAACAATGAGCTTAAATTTAGGTGTGGTCAGATGACAAGTTAGACGCTCTCGTTGAGTCCATAGTCTTGGTCTCACCTTAAGGAAACATATCCTTTACTTTCAGCTTGCATAACTATGGGCTTCATTTCAGTTGGCTATCTACGTCTTAGTTCAGTCACTGGATGAACTGCATCAAGACGTCCAGCCTTTCTTGCCGACTGAGCATTGCTCGTGAGTCACTACGTATTCGCTTTAAATGATTCACTTTTACAATGTCAGCACTTTGTATTTGCTAACTGCTCTTTTAATGGCAAGGTGTTTTGTGAAATATAACCATAACGGTGCTGAGATATTCGCAAAACTCCGGATCGCAGGAGTCTGCGGTGGGGAACGAACGCGCTATTACTCTTTCCAGGGGCTAACGCGTTCACCACCACACGATGTGAGTCCTTCTTTTCGCCTTACACCCTTTTCATCGCCCTCTTGCAGTTGTATTTAAACTACTATGCATATTTTTAAATTGAGAACTTTTATTTACTGCCCATTACAATTTTTCACGGTAGAGTATTATATGTAATACAAGCACAATCATGATGAGATATTTCGAGTACGGCATCTGCTTAACTGGGTTCATTGCTGATGCCACTGGTCGATGGAACTAGCTGAGAGACAGGTGAAACGAAGGGCCCGCATCGATGTGGTGATGAACGGGTTCCCCCTAGAAAGGGTAATGGCGGATTGGTTCCTCACCGCAGACACCAGCGCTCCGGAGTTTTGCAAATATCTCAGCACCATTATTGGTTATAATTCGCCTTGATTGGATTGTCATACTTTCACAAGGTCATTTTATAGACTTTTATCCACCCTTTATGGTGTCATTGAATATGGCGATATTTCATTTCTTGAAGTGAAGAGAATAGCTCATTGGATGGACACTACTGTGCGAAAGGGCATATATAAAGACTTTGTTGAACAGTTAGTTAAAGATTTTCATGTTTTTTTAAAAATTCATTCAGATCTTAAGGTCATGCCTTTATTGACGCTCAAATCAACACCAGAAAGAATAGTCGCGTTATCTTTGATGAGTGAGGTCGCTCATGGCAGAGTCCAGCAGATTCTACAGACCATATGTAGATGTTTCAGTATACACACGTTCCTGGATGGTGATGACATCAGCGTTGAATCTGACGTGTTACTTCAAACTCGACCAAATATAGTAAACTTTGTGTGCAGCAAGTCGTATCTAGGAATGTGGCTCAAAAAAGTGCGCTTTTGTCCCACTGTGTTCAAAACTATTGTATACCCTTTTCTGGTACATGAATTCTCCTTGTTTTTCTTTCAGTTATGCGCTGAATGGAGCCAGCATTCAACACAGCGTATTTTTGAGTACAATAAAAGATTCATTCAGTGGGTACGTGCTGCAGATTCCCATGGTGACGGTTTGCGATGCTTTGACCCGTGGGTTCAGCATTTCTTATATAGGTCATCTGCAACCAGTTGATCTTGTTTAGTCTAAATGTTTTTTTTGCTGTTCTAAATCTAGTATGTTTAAAGTATTTAAACTCTATTTCTTCTCGTCAGCTGGGACATCAGCGTTCAAATTAGTGAGCCACCTGTTGTACCATTTGAGATTGAGTCATCTGTCCGTGCGCGGAAGTGGATAGCCAATCAGATGCATCTGTTGCAGGTCTATTCTGTTTATAAAGCACTGCTTTCCTATCTGTAAAGTTAGTAAGTGATATGTGAGGTGCTGCACGTGTTGCATAGAGGTCCATGTGTCAATCTAACCAAAGGATTTTGTTGCAGGTATGCCCATCTGCTGCTTTTCCAGATACCGAAATCATGGATTGGTGCAAGATTATCCGCAAAAACCATGCTGATATTGTCCAAGTAGTAGTACCATTTCCGTATTTCTTTATTTGAAATCTGTCACCAATAGGGCTTGTTCTGTTAATAAACTTCATTGTAATTTCCTTTTTTCAACAGATAGAATGGTTTTTGTTGGGAGCGAATTATTATGTGGATATTAATGGCTATTTCTTGTCTATTTTTAGCACCTATTGGAGATGCTCTGTCATATTAGAGCTATGAATCTTGGTAGAGCCCTTCAGTCATTGCGTCTCTACTTCGACTACTCAATGTTCCGGTTAGTGCTTCTTTCGGTAAATATGTGGAAGCTCATGCTAAGCTAGAATGTTTCTGTAAATGTAACCGTCCATTAGGTTAACACTGCCACTTTAGATTAAACGATTCAGTCGTAGCTGCTAATGTGCACGGTGCTCGACTGGGAGTACTGGATCAGCGATCGCTCAGGTTTTGTTCATTACTTCAAGCGAGACTTTGTCGAATTTTCGGTGACAGGTAAGAGTCCGACTTAAATTCATTGTTTTCGCAACTAATATTTCATTTGCTAGTAGATGAAGGATAAAATTCTTCGTTTTGATCTATCCCTGAGTGATGTATCGTGCATTCGACTTCATTGAGCATCATTTGGAGGTGACTGGATGCATATCTGGTTTTTACAATGACTCTCAGTGACCTACCGCTGTATCGAGCCGGTCTTGCTATCCACCTAGACAAGTCTGGTACTAATTTCCCAACTGGGAGGGATAGAAGGCTAGATGGGCATGGGGCGCCAGGATATATCCCATGTGATTGCTGCGCAACTCCGACCACTGCGCTACACGCGCTCTTTTTGCTAGTAGTAGATGCATGATAAACACCTTCATTACAAATATTGGTCGTTTACCAACATTATCGCATTTTGACTAGAAAAATATGTCTGATTTACGCGATGTTTGCGGTTTAGGCGTTAGTTACAGGCTTTCGGCTAGTCTACTACTGTGTGAATGCGTTCAACAAGCTCAGAACCATGACGTTGCTTGTTTGCGAATGGCTATGGTTGAATTGGCAGCGCTGGAAGCCATGTCTCCAAGCGATACTCATCTTAATATCCTTGTCGATGGTAAAATATGCTTCGCCTATTCACTTTGTCTTCGTACTACTTATCAAATTTATGCCTTCTTTGCGGATTTTTCATATTCAGATAAATCTTCGGGGACTCTTATCTCCAGTGAGAGCTTGTTGCGGATGATAAATCGTGCGTCAGGAACTGACACTCTGTATCTATAGATATAGTTTTTTTAAAACTATTTTTTCGTTTGGGGTGATTTGCTCTATGGGTCGATTCTGCTGAGAGGGATCAAGTTAAGAAAGATATGGAAAAATGTAATAGAAGTTTGAAAAACAAAGCATGAGTTCGTAGTGAAGTTGTGGAGTTTTATGTGCTCTGTGGAACATTTGTGTAAGTTGATAATCACGGTCCTTTTTTACGCTTAAGAAATGTGTTATATAGAGCTGAAGGTGAGGTTCATCGAGATGCGGTTGTCGACACGAACGAGTCGCAGCAGCTTTTCGATCAAATGCATGCGTTAGCGAATCTGATGACGGCGATAACTGCGGCTCGACAGTGCAAATTTCCAGATGCGTATGTTATAAGATTTCAAATTCCCTTTAAAAGATTTCCGTTAACACGGTGGATATAATACAATGGAGAGCCTCTCAACGGTTTACTGCCTCATCGTAGTTGCGAGATATTCCTGGGTGTCGGGTTGCGCCGTATAGCGGGGAGGGGAGGAGGGAGATAAGGGAAATAAATATCCCGGCAGGGTCTCCCATTCCAATCTGAGAAGGATTCCGGCGTTTCCATCAGGAAACCCAGCTAAGAGTAAGCCATTGCCAAGATCCACCATTGTCCTGCTATTAAACTTGTCGCATGGTTGCAGATCTCTCTCTGATCCACAAGGGCGGCGACTGCCTGTGGTGATGACGACCCGAGGCAGACTTTGGCTAGCTGACCTCCGGACTCCAGGGAACCACAATTGCTGAAGCAGCAAAATTCCGAAAAGATGGAAATCGTGCTAGAGTCCGCACAAACAGTGATGACGGGCTATCTAGGTGTCCATCCAAGCGCTGTTCTGTCTTCTAACTACTGATTCATTGATTAGTTGTTGTCAAGTTGGCACACCCCCTAAATAGCTAAATATGGATAGCATAGTTATTCGTGCATTCTGCTTGCAGAGTCGAGGAAGGCGTCGAGCGTGCCTTGAGGTGCAACTCTGGGTTAGATACGGGTAGTCGCTGCCGTCTGATCAATGACGCAGCCGTAGCAACAACGAGTAGTATTCGGCTGAAGCATGGATTCGCGAAGGCGGCACGATCAATTGCCACCGCTCTAGTCGACACAAACTACGGTGAAGGCACTGCTCCGCGACACGAAACCGATGCACATGTAAATTAACAAACTTTTGTTCGAGAACTTATAGTTTTCTGCTATTTGAATGGAGTCATTTGCTTCCATCAATGTTATGTGGACTACAACTATTTGCATATTATTGCCTTTAACGGTAGTCTTCGTTGCTAAACGTAATTAGGCCACGCAACAAAGGGGATACAAACACCTTTGCAGTACCTTTATATTCTTGTAAACAATTGTGACCATCATATCAGCAGCCGTTCGGTCCCTTCAACATATTAAAAGGTTTAATCATGAAGGATTTTCGTCTTGTTCATTAATCAAATAGCATTTGGTATCCTCTTTTACGTTCAGCACACTTTTATGCTCGCGTATTTTTCAACGGTGGGAGACAGGTTTAACCGTTATAGTTTGTAGTTGTTTACGTTGATTTGATAGCACCTGTTAGGATTTATATCTGCTTTAGTATGGACTTTAGTTGCAATGTAGCATAGCTTTGTTTGCTTCGTACAGACCACTCTATCAGTTGTGAATATTTGCGGTTCAAAAAAGATAAGATTTGAAAAAAAAAGAGAAATATGAAGAAAACAATCAGTAGAGACCGAAACCTTTTGTCGAATACTGGTGAAACAATATTTGGTGCTCGTAACATGGAGTCACCAGAAACTAGATTGATATTTTCAAAGCAGTGGTGACCAATTTTACACTTGGATAATTCCTAATTAGAGGTCTTCTTGGACCTATTTTTTACACGTGTGTTAAAATTTAGGCCATAGCAGGTGTGAATATGGTGTACGCTAGTGTTATGATTGGCGAGTGGGATCGTGCCTTTCATATATTGCGGAAACTGAAATCGATTTTTACACCAGATATCAATTGGCAGGTAAATTAGCATTCTTTTACTACGTTTTCATTATTCTGATATCATTTTGCTTGTTGATTACATAGGAAAAGTTCTAAGAGTATCGAGGTTCCTATTTTGCCTTTAAGTTCTCATTTTCCACTCATACATGGGGAGGGGAGCAGTCGGCTACCACCGGTTGATAGTAACTTACTTTCTTTGTGATTCATATTCTGCTGCCTAGGGGTTCTTCACTGTATTTTTTTTCATGCTGATTCAACACCTTATTTTAGAGGGTCAGTTCTGAATAGTAGTTCTCTACACCTAATAATCGACAAGAACTGACCTTAGTACGAGTTTATTTTTAACGCGAGAAACTACTCGGTGAAGCGCACCACAGTTGTTGTAGAGGAACGTATAAAAGTATCTTTGCTGTACTTGAATAGTGGTTTTCGACATTGAGGTGTAAGTATTCGCTAAAATGAGATGGCAAATCTATTCATATGTTCTTACAAACTGCCCTTGTTGAGCTGATGAGAGGTTGGTACAAGTTGTCGTTGTTGTTATTGTTGTTTGATGGCCGATGTTTAGACGGTTTCGTCTTCCTCAGAGCCGTAATGTTGCGAGTGGGACTCAACGACAACTACAACAATAACGATAGCGTATCAGCTTCGCGTCAACTCAACAAGTTGTCAAATCTTTGAAGAAACCTACATGGGTGTAATTGTAGTCTAGTTGTCTACCTAGCGTTGTTGAAACTATTTACATTTTCAATCCTGGCTTTCATTTCACCTTGGCATGGATGGACAATGTTCTTGTTTACTGGTAAGCATGTTATGGCAGACGTAGCGCTACCATCGCCTTCGTTAGAGCTATAATTCGAATTACTTCGAATTCGTATCTGTCGATGTAGGTCTTCATAGTCAACTCTTTGGGTCGAATTGCTTGGAGAGGAGCATTGGACGAATGAACTGGCGTTATTTAGCACCACTCCTTCATACGTTGCGATTCTAGGTTGAGTGATGTCCAGTATTATCGGCTAGAATCATTGGGGTTCTGAAGATGATTACTCCGAAATGTTAGCCACTGTAAAGATAGCAACAACTTCGGTGTTATCTCGTTCACTATGATATTTATCAGTTTTTCACCACACACCGTATCACCAAGCGCTTGTCAAATCATTCCATTGATATTGTAAATATCATCTTCAAATAGATTTACTCTGCAGTCCGAAATTCATACAATATATCACTTTTGACGTGCTCTTCACTGCATCCTTTGTAACCTCTATCTCCGAAGATAAAATCTTGCAATCTATATTGTGATCCTACTTTTCGTTTTCTCGCATCCATCATCCACGAAGGTCTTCTTATGCACGTCTTCGGCTGCTGTTTGAGGATTTTCTTTTCGTCGTGAATTTTGTTGAACGCTGATCAAGTCGTTACTCTCTGGAGTCCCGAGATAGCCGGGGTAGAGCATTCCCACTGAGATTGCAAAAAAGGAATATTTTCCAGACATGTCAAGTATCATTTCCCTGATTCCGGAAAGATGAGGGACTTGCTGAGCCCAGAGCGAGATCGGACTAGCACCGTGCTCGCGATGGTCGGCACCCACTACCACTGTGCTACCCGTCCCTTTTACTATTGTAATCTCCATTATCATAAGTTTTGCAAACAACAATTATTACGTTTAATTCGCATCCATTATAATTCTTAATTCTTGATGCCATCTGACCATTGTGTTTGCGATGAACTTTCAAAGGCTACAGCTCTCGACAACGCACGTTTTGATGAGCTGACTCGGAATGTCAAACACATCGTACACTGCAAGTATAGTAATATCACTCTTTTCGATCTACTTCAGCATCATTATACTTCTCATTCTATTAAATTTTGAAATGTCCTTTCACAGCTTCTTGTTTAGAACGAGCTTGGGCAATCTTTCCTGTTCTTTCTGCATGTGCCATTCAGATGGATTTTGCAGCGGAGCTGTAGTACAAGAAGTGGCTTCTATGCAGGAATTCGTCGATCAGTTCTATCGTTATCGATTCAGCGATATTTTCACGAGGGATTTCTCTTTTGCCGGTATCCATTGTGATCTCGAAAATGTAGTCACCTTTATTCCACAGCGTCAATGCTTTGGTCCCATACCATGTGCCAATTGTGTGGAATGTATGGTTGGAGTGCAGTTCTTCTTTCAAAAAGCGCATGGGACTTACCAGCAGACACGTTTTTAAGACGTATGTGTAGTCATTGAGAATTTCCATCGAAAACCTGTATATTTTGTCCAGTTTGTCGTGTACCGTAGTCGTCATTGTCGGAAAACAAAATGGAGATGAGCCAGCAGATTGAAATGTTTGATTTTGTTGTAACGTAACTGGCGAGATAAACTTCGCTTTCGGAGCAGATAAAACGTGATTTTTCCCATCAAAGTTTCTAATTCGAGCTTTAAAGCGATTGAAAAATAGAGATTTCATCCAGTACAGCACAATGATATTCCTCAATGTATTCATTGACGTTAGCTTGTGCTTCGCTTGCTTTTACGAGTTTAGGATATTAGGCTCTATAATTTTTTTTGCTGAAAATCAAGGTTTCAAATAAAATTTGAAATGTAACTTGCGCCATGGAAAAGGCCACCATACATAATTTATAGCGATAGATCAGTGATTTCTATATTTTAATAGATTTGTAGTACTTCGATTGTGGATATACTAGCGAAGGCTATCGAAAAACCAGTATCGTTTATTTGCTTATCTCGTTTCCGCTCACTGATGGATTATCATCATCGTATAGATGTGTGAATGCGAAAATTGCCAGCATATACTTCTTGTACGTTGTAAAACTGGCCGGCTAAATACTACAGTGTGGTTTTCTGGAAGACGAATGTTACAACAGACGTTCGCAACGTTCCAAAAACAAGGAACAGAAAGAAACCTGAGGAACTTGAGGGGTAGATACAGGACAGAAATAACATAATGCATTGGGGACGGATTATTGTGCAGAAAGTACAGCAACAAAGGCAGAATCACTTCTGTGAGACTGGAGGTCGACCGATATTGATAGAGTCAGTTCGTAAGGAGTACAGCGAAAAACTGAGAATAATGTATCTTAACCTTTTTATTAACTGCGTATTCTTTTTAATGGCAGGTATGTTGTGAAATATAGCTTCTATAATGCTGAAATATTTGGAAAACTCCGGACCACAGGTTTCTGCGGTGAAGAACGAATGCGCTATTGTGCGGAGTTTTGCAAATATCTCAGCATTATAGGAGTTATATTTTGCAACATACCCTGCCATTAAAAAGAATAGGCAGTTAATAAAAAGGTTAAGATTGTGATTATAACTATAGCCTCAGCTTAACTGGGTTCGCGGCCAATTTGGAACCCCCGAAACGAAGGACCCGGATGGTGTGGTGGTGATCGCGTTACTCTACGGAAAGGACAATAGCGCGTTCGTTCCCCACCGTAGACACCTGTGGTCCGGAGTTTTGAAAATATCTGAGCTTTATAGAAGTTAAGGGTCGTGTAGTTGTGGATGCTACATGTGTTTATGTTCATTAGGTGTTAATTCGCTGGAAATGGTAAAACTTCCATTACAAAAAAACATGCTCAGATTATGGAAATTTGGACACTGCGTCATATATATATATATGTATATATATATGTATATATATATTATACATATATATATATGTACATATATATATGTCATAGATATTTTAGCACTTCATTTACGATCATTTCAGTGTGCGCAATATGTGCAACTTTGTGACAGTATCATTTCTTTCGATTGTGCCATTCTGTGTGGGCAGTTTGACAAATGTGTACCGATACTGGAAGATATCGAAGTAATGGATCATGCTGAGGCAGCCTTGAGGTGCTTCGTTGATATTGTAGCGCCACCATTCTTTATGGAATTGAACTAAGATAGGCTAGACTCGATTGCTGATGACTTCGTTGGTGTAAGAAACTGCCTGAGAGAAATGCATAAGGTGCGCCTCAGTAATGCAGTAACACGTAAACCACGGAAAGGGTAAGCGCGGGTACGACTTTGCCGTGGGATCTGAATTTTGCGAATGTCTTAGCATCCTCAAAACCGGGTGGGATATTGTTGCGAGTGGGACTACTCACTCGGATGGGACCACTCGCAGCATCATGGCTCTGAGGAAGGCGAAATCGCCTAAACGTCAGCCATCAAACAAGAACGACAACTTATACCACACTAGCATCGCATCAGCATCAGCAAAGCTATTTATGCCGACATTTATACGAACTCCGTCTTTTGAGTTATCTCAGCATCACTGTGGTTGTCTTTCGCGTAATATCCTGCCGTGAGAGTAGCAGGTAGTGCATATAAAATTATGCATTGTAAAATTGAACTTTTCAGGAAAGCGTTATTTCTGGCAGTACAAGGTGAGATTACGGGAGCACGTAATTTCCTTGAAACTTTGTACACAAAATACGAGACACCATCTACTGTTGTAGTTCATATGAGGTACAACTCTTTTTTCAGGCTTTTTCAGAACTACTTTTCAGGGTAATAGATTTGTATTTGGTTCTGAAAAATCTGGTTGCTTCACTTGAAAAGTGCTGAAGGGCTCCAGGTAACTTGTAAAAAACTCGATTTTTTAGTGAACGAAAGGTCACCCGACTTGTACAGTGTAGCTGTTCAAAAAAGCTGCAGCTGTTAAACACCCCTAATCGTTCAACCACTGCAAATTTTCTCACCACGTTCAAGTGGCTTTATCATCTCCACCCAGCTACATAAGTATACGCGCAAAAAATATGCGTATCACGTAGATGATGCTCTACCCTTTTTGATTCTTTGGTGCTTCTGTTTCCATTCCTTTTCATAGTTGGTGCTTGAAATTGAATAGAAACAAATTGTGTTAACAAGCACATGGAAATGAACTCAGTTATAGTGTTGAGAATTACAGACTTCGACTTCAATTGGCGATGCTTCTTAGTGCAGAATGTCGTTGGAGTGCTGCCACTGAGATGCTTAATGGAGTTCGTGAAGAAGCGATCAGTGTTGAGCATCGCAATATCGCCGGTATGGCGCTGCGAAGAATAGGTGTTGTTCAGGTGAGCCTTCATCGGTTTCGTACGAAGGGTTATATTTCAAACTCTACCACTTATCAACTTTTTATTTGCTGCCTATTACAAATTTTCACGTCAAGGTATCATGTGAACTGCACTCACAATGATGCTGCAATATTTGCAGAACTCCTTAAAAAAAGTGTAGGGATCGAACCCACAATTAGCCTTTTCGGAGGCTAACGTTTTCACCACTAAACCATGGAGGAGCTTCGGTTTCGCATTTCTGTGAGCTGGTTTTCTATCTAACAGTGCTATCAGCAATCACCCGTCAACGGGATTGATCTGGGGAGCACAAATCAGCAGTGAACCCAGTTAAGCTGTGGCTGTATTTGCATTCACAATGTTACCTTTTAATTTACTGCCTAGTACTATTTTTCATGGCGGCGTTTTATATGAACTGCACCCACAATGATGCTTATGTTTGCAAAACTAGTAGATATATTTCTATACTTAATCAGTTCGAGCGTAAATTTGCTGTACGAAGAGTATAAGCGCTCATTATGCACTTTTTTGAAATTATGGACGGTAGGGAAACGTTTTCTTGAATGGCTCATATCACTAGATGTGTTAGGACTGGATGATGTTTCATTTTATTTGCAGATGTTAAGTGGAGATTATGAATCTGCTGTAACGAACCTGACAGAATGCAAAAAGGATATCAATCGTTATTGCTCAGTTCTTGAAAGGGCTATACTATCCATAGCTTTGGCGAAGGCTTACTCGCATTGTAGAGACGGATGTGGTGAGTAAAGTGCCCTTTCTCAGTTTAGATTCCTAAACTAATTGTCTTCGCAAATCGTGAGTTCTTAATCTAATAACCGTTCATCTAGTTTTTGCATATTCTGCCCATATATGTGTATATATACATATGCGTGTACGTACATATATATATATATATATATATATATATATATATGTATATATATACATATGTACATTCCTTTCCTTGTGCATGTCGCAGAAGCATAGAAAGGATGTTTCATTTGGTTGTTTTACGAATTGTTTTACTGCATAGCATAACAGAGTGGTTCAGTCTTCGTTTTCAAGAAATATCTCTTACTGTACTTTTTTTTTTTTTAAAGAAACGGTGCGTTTCCTAAACAAGGCTCGTGTCCACTGTCGTCAAGCAGGGGCGACACTCTTTGAGAAGTTTGTTCTGCACGAGCTAGCACTATATTACAACGAAGTGAGTCCTTGGGCCCAAAGAGGAGTGACTTCACGCAGATCTTATTCTTGTTTTTTTAACTTTCATGTTTCTGCCTCCTATTAGTACGGCTCTTTTTCGTCTTTTAGCACGACGCTATCGAGGAACGTGACGAGATCGCTGCAGAATTTGCTGAGTTAGACGAAAGACATGCTGGCTTATTCGATTGGAACCTCGTGTAGTAAAGACGGGTGATCGTTATATTTTGCATAGACTGAAACATTAAAATTTGGCAAAGATTTATGCTTTACGATAAAAACATTACCAGTTACACGGCAATTCTTCTCTTGTCTTCTTGTGCAAATGAGGGTTATGAATCACAAACACTGGAAACAATGGTGTACCTAACATATTAACACATTCCCAGCTATCCCAAATTTGGACGCGTAATTTTTCAATGCGCTACAGATATGTTAAAAGCTGGATTCTGCTTCCGCACTGCAGAACTGGGAGAGCGTTTGGTAGTCTAGTAAATTTTCCTAGTATTATAATACATTGTATAGATTGCCAAATTTGTCTCAAAATTTTCAGATTTGTATGACAGTGATGGTTTTATACGACTTAGCTGTCCCTAATAATACAAGTTTCCCATTCTGATTCCGGGACAACCATCCAGTTAGGGCTCTGCCCTTCAGCAAGCCAGTCAAAGTCGTTCGGACGCATCCATGCATTACCATCTGGGACTTCTACATAGCTGTCATTGTACACCACTCTGCAAAGAATGAAAAGTTTTCTTGATGAGGAAACACGAGATTGTTAACAAGATCTATTCAGTGCAATACTAAACGGGTACATTCTCGGGCCCGTGTAGTTTTATAAACATCTCATGTGTCCTGTATCTTACTAGCGACTGGATCCTAGAGAATGTCAACTAGACGGAAGCAACACTACTAATCAAGAGGTTAGGATTCTTCACCATAGTCATGAACAAAAATATGACGACCATTATTCTTTTCGAATAAGTAGAACTTAGTGGACAACTGAGGAACGTTACAAGGTTGAATTAACAATTGCTAAAGGGGTATCATTTGAACACAAGGGACACGTATACCGAAGCGGTTAGAGATGTGATAAACACGTAACTGCTGGTTCAACACCGCGCCTCGGGCTCACTCACCAAGGCTTCCATCCCTCCTGGTACTAGACTTTTCTGGGATGATTAAAAAAAACACTAATATGGCTCATCGGTGGGTCGCCACAATCACTGTATAGGTCACAAGTAAGCAACTATCTCAAACGATGTTTGAGGAAGTCGAATTCATGGCGCATTCCTCAGGAGCTCTACGCTTTTAACAGAAAGATATGTAAAACAAGATACGGTGGATTTTCTGCATTCAAAACCAGCACTGAGATATGTTCCGTAGGATTCTTTCGAACACAGTTTTCTGGTGGTATATGTTTCCCTGGTGGACCACCTTAGCACAAAAATGTTGAGTTCAGCACGCTGTTTGCAAACGTGCCAAGTTCATATTTATGAAAAAACCAGACTAGAATTTTTCCTTCTTTTCGAAATCACAGTGTAATATATTATGGAATACGAATACCTGTAAGGTGCCATAGATATGTTAGCGCAAGATTCAATGATGACGGCTGCACGAACACCAGCATGAATGCGTAGATCGTAAGAATTGTGAATTCGAATTTGCTGGGCAGTAGCGAATATCTTTGATCTAAAAATTAAAGCGGACGCTTTAAAGTGGACAAAGATGAACTGCTGTACGAATAATCACATTTCGCAGAAAAGAGGTCCAAATGTTTTTCATCGACTACGAGTCGTTAAGTCTTGTCACCTTACAGGATGGACAAGGTGCCATAAAAAGTGCTAAGCGAGCAGTGAGCGTCTTAACAATGACTACTTTGTGTATAAAATGAGGACATAGAGGACAGTAGCAAAGTAGATCGATCATTATGATACACTGCTACGGACCTTTTGTAGGCATCTCTTATATAAATTCGACAAATAGGAAAAGAAGGTCAAACCGAGTTTTTGGCTGTTTGTTCACTTCGGATTGAAAAGCAGTAGTTGCTATTTATTTGCCGATATCAGCAGATTTAAGCAACTCTACTAATCTACCTCTCAATGTCTTTATTGCGCTCCTTGCACTTAAGCTTTTAAGCTGGAGAAAAACAGCAAACACTAGTGAAGTCAAATTTACTCCCGTTGAATTTAATAAGCCCTCATGAGGCTCCAATTCCTCGAAAGTTAACAAAAGCACGACATTCTTGTTATAATGTTTCATTTTTACTGTTTTTGGCAAGAAAGCAACCAATGATATCTCGATACGTTCTACTATGGTATGGCTCTAACGGATTTTCTTCGTTTGAAATGCGGAAAGGACGTCACACACCTACACTGCAGCGGCAATTTTACAAAGAACCTTATTTAACCGATTACCATTCAACAGGATCTTATCTAGATATTACGTAGTGGATTAACATCTCATTACCAAAGTATCCCATTATTAAAATAATTTGTGGTAGGATAACAGCTATCGAATGTTCAATGCTAGATAAAGAAAATATAATAGCTCTTACCGTGCACAATCATACATAAGCATGGACGTCTCGATGGGAAGAAACACTAGTCTTGAATCGTATAGTCCCTGAAGAGCATATAGACAAGGGCAAACAGGAGAAGTGAAAGTAGAATTAGGTAGTAGTAGCTTACCTGAACATGAACACTAGCAGGACGAAAAGTGAACGAAAACTGGCAACTTCTGATCTCCTTCAACTTCACATCAAAACCGTCCTTTCCCGTAACAATTCGAATTTCATTTGTCTGCAAGTATCCGAGAATTTATTATGCATTGCATTTTGCACAGGATGATGAAGTATACCAAATTTGACAAGTTTATAACATTGTCGAGTATATGCTTTGGTTCGAAAGTGGATCGTTCGGAAGAAATAGGTAGTTGTGGTTGGGGTCTTCCGGAGGTTACTGGATTCTTCTTGTTCTCCAGAGCCTATGAAAAATCTCATAAGTACTGGACGCAAGACTAGTTAGCGAGAGCAAATTTAATAATAATAATAGTAATTTTACAAAGAAATACTACACATATTTTTGAAGCACATCTATATCATCAGGGTTGGACAAAAACTCCACATGTAATGTCTTGTTAGAACTTATGAAAGGTAAAACTTGAGAAAATACAAGCAAGTTTTTAGGAAAATATACCGAAAAAGAGAAAGTGGGTTGCTTTTGTGAACCATTGCTTGCTTCCACACCAGCTTTTCGTAACAATTTAAGTGCATTTTGTATTCGTTTCGCAGACCATCCACAATCTTCTAACGACAAGAAATTCTCTAGAAAAGACCTTTTTGAAGGTAGTAAACCATCCAGGATAGCCTTCCAATATGATACTGAACGAAATCACTCATTTCTTTAAATGTACTGAAGCAAAGGTGAAGACCTAATTCCTTAATGGTGTGTTCGTCGACGGCCCCAGATTCAATCTGCGCTTGAGCACGACTCAACGCCTCGTCGAGTTCGTCATTGCGACTCTTCACTACCTCAGCACCTGAATTCTCAAATGCGTTTTCTTATTGAGAGTATTCGGAATTCCTGATCAGAAAAGATGTATTGAACTAACAAAGAAGAAAGAGGCTGCACTATGCTCTCTCTTGAAAAATGAAAACTTTGACACACGTGACAACACCTAAACTTCCAGTCCGAGATATGAATCGAATTTAACATTAGCCAATGTGGAAGATATTATATCTCACACCGGAGGTTCAGGTTTTCTCGTAAATATATATATATATATATATATTCACAAACATATGTATATGTGTGGATGTTGGTTGAGCACTTCCACTTCATCTTGAATGCTGTTTTTTCCGGACAAGTCCGGTACCAACACATAGAACATAATAACAACTACACGAATATAGGTCGTTCGGGAATCACCCTAATGGCTTACTACTGCTTGAGTTTATTTATGCTGCTTAAGTTCATTTCTTTTTGAATGCCACAGAATATTGATTAAGTCGATCCTCCTTCTAACCCCGCAGATCTGCTAAGGAATCCCCAAGTGGATCGAAGGAGTGCGCTTGTGAGAGGATAAAAACCACTGCCTCTTCAATTGATTTATGTAACATATAACTATTATTTGATAAACTTGTCACGAATAGATGATCCCACTTGAGTTAGCTTGTCCAATAGGTCGTCGTTGTTCAAGACGTTGAAGAAGATTGCGCTTCTTCCTTGCCAAAATATCCGAAGATGCACAGGATATTGCCTCGTCCAACATTTTAGGTTCAGGAATATGGTTACACCTTTGTATATTTAACTTTTAGTCCGCAACAAAAGTAAAGTATGAAGTAGGAAAATGGAATTACCATAAGTGAGAAAAATAAGCCACACAAAAAATTAAAATTGTTTCTTTTATTGGTAGAATAAATCGGATTCATCCGCAGTATGGAAGAAATGGAAAAACTCTAATATCAACATTTAATCTAATCAGTTCTTGAAACGTTCTATAAAATACATTTGATGTCCTCCCTAGTACTTAGTGTACTGCGCACGTCGTGGATACCATGGCAGCAGAACCTCGGAAAAAGGTCGCCCATTCCCTACAAATAAGATTCTTATACTGAATATCGACAAAGTTAACAAAACAAAAGTTTATAAATAATAAATAGGAGTAACGGGCATAAAGTGAAGAAAAAAAGGATTTTAGAGTAGAAACAAGAAACTGTGAATGAAACATTTGGATGGCCCGTCCTCACTAGTTGTGCGGTCCCCAGCATAATCTCCATTCCCATTCCTTCAAAGTTTTGCTGGCTTAGCCATCGTAGTTCCTTGGAATCCCGAGGTCAGCCTGGCTAAAGTTTGCTCCATTACCACCACAGGCCGCCTTTGTGAATCAGAGAGAGATTTATCATCATGCAACTAGTTTGGTACCAGGACGGTGACGAACCCTGGCATTGGTTTACTCTTAGCTGGGCTTCCTGATGGACACGCCCGACTTGTTCTCAGCTTCGGGGACTCTACGAGAAGGATGAATTCCCTCGTTGTACATCGGAGCCCGACACCCAAAAACACCTCCCAACCACAATGAAGCCGTAAACCGTTGGGAGAGTGACTGAAATATGACCTGATAATCACGCAAAGAATGCTCAAAACAAGCGTAAATGCAGATCGCTAAAAAATGGCTTTACGTGTTAAAAAGTGAACCAAATATTCCATAAGAAAAGAAGAATAACCAGTAACCATTATTCAAGTTTTAGAGATAAATACAAGGGAAATAATCTACATTTTTCCATAACTGATGTACAGTTTTACATATTAACAACGCTCTGAACATGTCACAATGATCATGGTCTATTTGAAAACACAACTTACTGTCATTGAAATGGTCAAAATCCTGCGGATGAAGCTCAATATAATGCTGGACAACAGCGTCCCTTGTTTTATAGTGGTGCTCTCTCAGTGATCCCAAGCCGTAACCCAAAGCGCCCATTACTCCAGTAGCAATCAAACGAGGAAAGATAGCTGCAAAACATTCCATGAGTTCGGATGCATACGCCGTTAATGAAATGAATGCTGAATGCTAGACGCTACTTTCTACTTTCCAGTTAGAAACAATACAACCAAATCTTGTGGACTCACCGAAATAGTAAGGCTTTTTATACCATATATTGTAAAGATGTGTAGAGACAAGAGACAATCCTACCAACACACCGGCTCCCTGAAATCGTGTTCGTATACGGAACTAACAAATACGGAAAATTCCCATGGATAACAGTGTTCATGTCAATGTGTGTCTACATGAAGTATTAATGTGAATATAACAGAAGTTCGTAACTCTGTCTGAGCTGCGCTTGCTGAGAATTCAACGTTCTTCTCACTGCACTAGAACACGAAAAAACATATTCCTGGGTTCTGGGCTGCAATGTACAGTAGGGGATCCACCCACCCAGTACGGTCTCCCAAGCTGATGACTCTGGCATTTTCATCGGAAAGCTCAGCTAAGAGTAAACCAATATCAGAATCCACCACCGTCCTGGTACCAAACTAGTCGCATGGTGGTAAATCTCCCACTGATCCATGAGGGTTGCAACCACATGTGGTGGTGATGGACTGGGGCAGACTTTGGCCTGGCTGACCTTGGGACTCCATGGAATCACGATGGCTAAACAAGCAAAACTCCGAAAGAGTGGAAATTATGCTGTGGTCCTCACAATCAGTGAAGACAGGCCATCCAAGCATCCAAGTAAGTATATGCCACAAATGGCCACCGTTCGGAAGGAAATTTTGTGGTAACGCAGCAAATCCTCTCCTTCTGACCTATCCAGTGCGCGAATTATCAAAGAAGTCTGCAACGGGAACGCAATGTTATGGTAGTATCACAACACTACGAAAAGAAAAACTGCCATCCAGCAAAATACCACTGTGCTCAAAACAACAGTCGATCTTACAAGACGAATATATTAACTATATTAAAAGCAGGACGAAAAAGTCAAAATCGTGGTGAAAACCACCTTGAACTTGATTGATGCGATAGTTCGTCACTTCCCACTTTTTTTTTCTGTTTTTAAACGAAAACTCCCACCTGTTTAGTCGTTTCGGTGTTATACGAGGTGAGATGCGAAATAGTGAAAAACACACCTTTTAGGCGTTTTGTAATTAGAATCCAACATTAATAGAATGAGAAAATTTTTACTTCACCGGAAAAAACTTGTAAATTGTAATGGCTTTCATATTAAATGAGAAAGACTAATACCATTAAAGATAAATTTGCTTGAAGTTGGAAGGCTGGAATGTTTTCGAACAGATTTGAACAAGCGGACGTGTAGCGCAGTGATCGGAAGCCCCATGCAATACACGCGGCATCGATCCTTGTGCCCCAGGCCCACCAAGTCCTCTATCACTCCGGGATCGGCAAACTGGTTCCAGATTTGTCTGGGAGCATAGAAGCACTGGCTTGATACATCGGAAGGCCACCGCGAGTTATCGTGAATGCCAGATGTGCATTCAATGACCTCCAAACGATGCTTAATGAAGTCAAACGCATGGTGTATCCCTCAGGGAATCATCAACGCTGAAAGTTCTATCCTTTATGTACGCTCAAGTTATTAATAACGGTTACGCCCAATCAAAATAAGCACTTCTTTGCTGAGATATCCTAAGCGCTTTATTTCCCTGAAATTTGAACCTCTTTCTCAAAAACATTTGATCCACTTAGCAGCTAACGTACTACCACCACACACACGACTTCGAATTTCATTCCATAAGCGTAATGCATTTAACTAGAGGCTGAGAAGTAAGTCTGTGTAGCAAACAGCCATTTTGTCCCATACTTTCACCAACTTACTTTGCCTTTCGTGACTACCAACCTCCCTGTTAGCAACTATAGAAGAGCTCCACATTACTTTCATACATATCTTGTTAAATACTAAAAATAAAAGCCGTCGCCCAGGAAGCAGCTACTACCTTAGCGGTAAGAAATGCGATAAGCACTAGTAAGAATGCCACATAACTGAGAATCACGAGCCAGGACAAAACCTACATATCATGAAGAAAGAATAACTTAACTTCATTGGATACGACCAGGTAAATGGATCCACTGGATTCATTTCTCGCAATTCGGCACGCAAGTACTTCTCGCGCCTCTCTATCTCTTCGGGACTTGCCCGTGTCGACTCAGCCATCTAGCATGAAAAAAAAATCATATTAGTGCTTTAGAATTGACTAAACGAAAAACGAAAACTGACGCAAAATAATCGGTGCACCATTGTGCTACCGTAATCACTGTCACTGTTATCATCAACAAAAACTACCAAGTAATTCGGTTTCTATAGAAATCTTCACATTGCGGGGAGGGAGAGGGGTGGGGTGGGGAGGGGGAGGCATAAGTAAAACAAATGAAATAAAATGAAGAAAGGAAGAATTCGAACCCATCAACTCAATGCTGTGGACACGGAGAGCCGTCATTCTCTGAAACCTGACTGATAAAGACGGAGGCTCGTAAGCCATTACAAAGACTATGTAAAAACAGGAAAACCTAACGTGAATTGCAAAATCGTGCATTTGAAAAAAGATATGATATCTGCGTTTTACAGACTGAACAAACGTGAACAAACAGGAATATATTTCGAAAAACCGACTTTGGCTTAACTTCGGCGTTAAATAACTTCCACCGTGGCGTGAATTCTCCTCTATGAGCATACAAAATGTTGGTAACATCTATTTTGATACACGATGGATAACTATCCAGTGAATTCATTTTCCTTATGGTTTCAGAGAAAGACCATCAGTATCTTGTTCACATACGATGATGAATAGGAATTTGAACATTAATATGAATATGAACAGGAATACGAATCCCGTCATCGCATCTGAACAATGGTCTCACTCTTTAAGAAGATTGCTCTAAAGACGAACTCACCGAAAGATTAGCCAATGGATATCAAAACACGTGTCAGAAACTTCGTTGCAACTCAAAAAGGAGTACACGCAAAATGAAACAGCGACATAACTTCAATGATTTCATATGGGACATCGGTAGTGCTATCGATGCTACAAAAATTATCATGAGCAAAACCAAACCAAGGCCAAGATTTATCTCGAAACGAATCTACAAAATTTCTGCTTTTAATTTCAATCCTCTAACGGTCAAACTTGGCAGGAAAACGACCTTCCTCTATCAGCTCATCCCACTTCTCAATCCAGAATCTCGGGCAGAAGTCCTACAATTAGCAAACATTTCAAAGCCACACTTCAAAGTGAATCGACATCGCACTGAAAAACCTTTAAAGTTGCCTAACCTTATAAACATTCTGAAAGAACTTGCAGGGTTTGTAGTCCTTCCCCATCAATTCATTGCAGCGATGGAAATCAACGTAGTATGCGAAGCACTGCCGTTCTTTGCGTACCTACAGAAGCTACGAATTTATAAGGAATTCCAAGTAGTTTATGATATTCGGGATAAATAAGAATAGTGTTCTTGCACAGTTCAGTGACCGCAAAAGAGGGCGTGTGCACCCGCTTTGAGGTCTGCGACAATGAGAAAGTACGAAAAACAGCTGTTTAACCTGAGGAAAGCGAGCATCATATGGGGCAGCCCACAGCAGCTCCTTCTTTAGTTTCTCGTTATACTCCTTGTTAAACCATTCAGGAGAGTCCGGATGACGCAAAGCAGTTGAAAACTCCTTCTGAATAGTAGAAACAATAAACGAATTCACGACATGAACTAACCATGAGAAACTCAAACCTAAAGTATCTTCTATAAGCGAAAAACGAAATCGAGAAGAATCAGTGTCTAAGTAACAGCCTGAACAAAAATGAAAAAACCTGGTGCTTCTTTAGGCGCTCGTACGTAGTTGGTGGCACGTGGATGTCGCTCGGCATGCCTGTATCACGGAGCACAGCATCAGATTTCAGAATCGAGATCACATGCGCATTTTAAGGAACACAACGAACAGTATTGAATGAGAACACAACAGGACACACACCTACTCAAAGCAACAAAAGAAGCTCTCCAAAACACCAAACAACCTATCTGTTTGGCAAGCAAAGAGGCAATGAATGGATCAGGAACGGCGGTACACTTCTGCGTACACCACACAACGAAAGGCACGATAACGAATAGAGCGCGGTAATGACGAGCACTTTGCGTTACCATCGTCGCATGCTGAAGAAGAGGTCCACGGACTGCCTGCTACTATTTCCATCGTCCATGAGGGGACTGACTACCGAGTAAGGGTAAGTCAAACGGGTTCCAGTGACGTCTCCATTCAGTTTGACGACATCCTTCCTCCGTCGGCAAGCCATCGACTGGTCACGAAAAGTCTGGCAAAAAACCCTATGTGGCGAAATGAACTAGAGAAAAGTGTGCGCATCGAAGTAAAAACGTGCGGTCCATAGAGCCCGCCACGTCTAAATCGGTGCACCTGGTCGCGAAAGGATTAGCAGATGGCTCCTGACGTCCAGTGATGAGTTCCTTCCGTATGGGACCGCGCTAAATTCCTATCAGCTTACGAACTAGTGCAACTATCACTGTCGGTATCCACTGTCAATGTACGGTGCTGGTTTCTTGACAAGGAAAGGTTCTGATAAGATAACTAGAAGAATTGACGGGTTTAGGTGGTCACAGAAGTGTAGAGAAGACTATCCGATCACACTGACGGCACGTGTATTACTCTTTATCATATATTACTGTGGTACACTATCCAGTCACATAGTGGTCAGCATTTGGAAGTGTTTCGAAGATTATCTTGAGTGTAGATCGGTATTTCTCGTGTCCGCCCACAACTGGGACTCATCATTGCTGTTGAAAATAATAGTTAATTGGTCAAATTTTGTATAACTCACATAATGGATGAACCTTGCTTTCCGGCAGTTACAGCTGAGGAGTTGAAAAGATAACACGGTTACCAGATATACTTGGTTTTGTTGCTGGAAAGGTGTAGCTAGAGCGCGCGTGGCGCAGTGGTAGGAAGCGTCCTTCAATGCGCACCTGGGATCGGCCCCGCACCTGCGACTCACCAATCCTTCCATTCCTCCGGTGTCGCAAATTGGTATAAGACTAGTCTGGAGAGAAAGCAGCACTGGCTCGATACAACAGTAGGCCACCGCGGCTCATTGTAGAGCCCAAATATGCATTCAAGCACCTCAAACGATGCTTAATGAAGTCGAATGCATGGCGCATCCCTCAGGAATTGATCAACGTCGAGAGCTTTATTCTTTATTCTTTAAAGGTGTTGGTGTTAATATTTAGTATATGTTTTTAAAAAAAAGTCTATGGTCACTTCGGCTTTATCTCGTTGGTCAATAGTGGAATTCTATGTGTTTGAATTATGTCACTAGACGTAAAGCTGAACATTAACCGGCTGATGATATTAGCTTAAGAACAGACATCAGCTAGTAAGAAACCGCTTACTGTGAGGGATTCCTATTGTTAACACACCAATCAAACAGGGTACAGCTCAGCTCAGGAAAGCTTAGATGAGGGTAAAAGCGCCAAAACGTCAGCTCACTAGTAGTTGTACAACAAAGGCTGTAAGATGAGCAATCCAAAAGGATGTTGATTATTCATGCTGAGGTTAATTAACAGTCGTTTTACAAAAGTGAATTCTTAGTTGAAGTTGATGAGTTGCCGTTGTCGTAGAAGACACTTTGCTTTTAATCAAACTCGAAAGAAAAGTAATGGTCGACTTAAGGGACAAGATTTCTCATTCAAAGCTTGCCTAAAATCCAAACTTTCAAAAGATCAATTTCTTTGTGGCGGCAAAATAATAAAACATGCGTCCTGTTTGTGACGGTCCCTAGATTCTGATACTCTCTATCTCAATTGAGAAAGTTCATTGTGATTGTTATTGTCTTCGAGTACACATGAATTACAGGTAAAGGCCAATCAACAGGTTGAAATACTGACAACGTGGATGAATTGTTGGAATTCACCAAAACAGCGCTGGATCACTTTTTAAGAATATTCCAGAAGACTCGGGTTATTGAGGCGCTCCGTTCCTTGACCATCGTCATTCTATAATTCATCCATCGGTTTCTTCCTTTCTTCCTTTTGTTTCATCTCCCTGTTTCTCATCTCTCTACATTTTGATACCATCGACGTTACTTATAATAAATCTCCTTGTTTACCGTTTTGGACCAATTTTGTTGGTTAAGAAACATTGAATACTACGGTCTTGAGCCACGTCAACGGTTGACGACATCGACTTCGATCTGCATCGGCTTCTCATCGAAAGTGGTAGTTAAATGCGAGATGAGGCGACACCAGCAGATTCCCGTGCTTTTGTGAAAGAGAATGGAGAGGGTGAATTGAGGAGGAAGAATAAAAGTGTTACTGATATCAATGATGAAGGGTTATGTAATGTAACCAGCAGATTCTTATGAGCAATTTATGGCTAACATTTGCTCATTGATTGTGATCAAGACGAACGGAGATACTCCGCGGAAAAGTGTTTCATGGAAGGCGAGCGGCAGACGTCTCGAGATGAGACGGTTATTTATTTCTGGATTAAGACTGGGATGATTCAGGCACCATATCTGAGAGATTATTGGAGTTTGATGGTTGTCTTGTATGAAACCCTGTGGGTGTCCTTATTATGATAAGAGATGGATTCGAAACTCTGCTGGCAAACCTCCATTTAGCCAACTATGCAAAATTTGGCTGACAAAAGGGTTTCACAAGATTATACTACTAATCAACCTTATGAGAGGAATTTGAGGAATAATATGCGTAGCCTCACATAGTTGTTCAGTATTAGTCACGAAACCCTAATGCTGTTGTATTGACGTCGAATATATGCAAGTTAAAGTTTAATTACCCATGTTCGAGGTTTGCTGCGTCGTACACGATTGCACAGGTAGAAGCCTCGCGTGGCGAACTGAGAAAATCGTGTATTCAATCTACAGCTGGAGGAAAAAGGACTAATACGACCAACTACTATTCTATATTCTATGGACCAATGGATACATTTAGTGCACTGGCCAATCCGACTTGAATCAACGCTCAACGCAACAAGTCGGTCGATGCTACTGCTCTATTACTCTGTCGTTCTTCTGCACCAGTTGATACATTTGCTGCATAAGCCAAGCCGATTAAGGCTCAAAGAAGCAAAGAACGTTCAGTGAAACAAGATCCAGTAAAGACAACGTCAACGCGGAAACCTATCTTCAAGTACGTTGTATTAACTCTCCAAAAAAAACAGCGACAACCATCTTGTTCGCTCGCTAAGACTATTAACCACCTCGTATCACCTGTATTAGAGCGATGAAGCTGAGAGCTCGAAAGTTACCAAGAGACGTTTGTCTCCAATAAACACTCGAGCTGAAACACCAGCGTGGAATCGCACGAGCTGCAGGCAACAGCGAACTAATGTCCGAACTTGCAGAGAGGCGATAAAAGAAGATCTTTAAGAAAGAAGAGCAGCAGTAATGGTCGAAGCTGCAAAGGCTGGGAAAAGCATTCGCAAAGCCCGCCGAAACCTCCCCAGTTACAAGACCAAGATGTTTGCACTCCGGCACCCAGACGGTACAGTTTCAGCATCCAAAAAGGGGATGGAGAAAATCATTTACGAATACTACACGGATCTCTTCGATAGCCACGTCTACCTTCCGCCATATGAAATAAAGGAGGATGGATATGTTGTAGCACCGGTTCTCCCTTCCGAAATCCGACATGCCATTTCTTCGGTGAAAAATCGAACAACACCAGGTCCGGAAAGGATAAGACCAGAGCACCTGAAGAACCTTCCGCCAGTCCTCGTAAACACACTGGCTCGGCTCTTCGCACATTACCTGTTAGAATACAAAGTTACTGTTCAGTGGAAGACCAGGAAGACCGTGTTATTATTTAAGAAAGGTACCTACACGATGTAGGCAGCTATCGTCCAATCTGCATACTGTCTGTCGTCTACAAACTTTTCACAAAGGACAGCCATGTGAGCAAGCAAGGTTTCGAAAAGTATTTAGTACGACGAGCCACATTCACGTGGTAACAAGGCTCATTGAAGTAACGCGAGAGTACAAAAGACCGCTCTGTCTCACTTTCATCGATTTAAAGAGGGACTTTGACTCAATTGAGGCAGAAGCAGTCATGGAAGTCCTCGATAGTCAGGGAGTCCCTACTCAGTATATAAAGATTCTTCATGGGCTTTAGAAAAAGTTCACAACCAAGATATCATCATTCTACAACGATATTAACATCGACGTCAAAAGAGGAGTAAGGCAAGGCGATGCCATATCGCCATAATTATTTACGGCTACACTCTAAAATGTCATGCGAATACTAGAATGGGACAACATGGGAGTCGAAATCGATGATCGGCAATTACACTATCTTCGCTTTGCTGACGATATCGTTCTTATAACACCAAATATTAGCCAAGCAAAACGAATGTTTGCCAATTTTCACAAACCGTGTGGAAAGATTGGCCTTCGACTAAATCTCACAAAATCGATGTTCATGAGGAACGGATTGGTTTCGTATGTCCCATTTATGCTCAACGGAACGAATATCTCCGAATGCTCCAGTTACGCTTATCTTGGTCGGAAAATCAATATGATGAACGACTTATCCCCAGAGCTGAACAGGCGGAAGCGAGCGGCATGGCGAGCTTTCGAGAGCATCGAGGATGTAGTGAAGAGAACAAAGAACAACCGACTCCGTGCCCACTTTTTCGGCTCAATGGTACTTCCTGCCTTAACGCATGCGTTAGAAACCTGGGTCGTTGACTAACCTAGATCACCTGTAGTTCCGTTGATCGTCGAGTGGCTCGAGCGGGCGCCAGTAAATCTTCCATTTTTCCTTGTCGCGTGCAAGAGTATCACAGGGTGTAATGCTCGCTTTAGGCACACTTTGAGCGTGGTACTCTCCTCTACATTTTTGG